CTATTAGTTCATATAGACACCACAACCTGTCTTCAATACAGCAACCATAACATCCAACTCATTGTCCTATATGACCTATCTAACAGACGATCAAATGCACCACTCGCAATTCGCAAACAAAAACAGATATCGTTGAACCTGAACCCCCCTTGTTGCACCCAAAACGGAGCCTAACTGAATTAACGAGGTCAAGGAGCAGAGACTTCGGTGCACAATCCTCACCTGCGCCCTGTTCAGAATCCACTACACGTACCAACCCCATGAAGAACCACAACTATCCATTCCAGCTAAGACGACCCGAAGCACGCCCACTAGGAAATAGAGGGTTAGCGGTTTTATTCAACTTTTAATAAGAGGGGGAGGGAGGGAGAGTACCACATCGCCGACGACCGCGAGGCGGACGCGGCCGGCTACGGCGCCGGCGCCGGAGGAGGCCATGGACCTGGACCCGAGCTTGGGCGGCGGCGTGGCCGGGGAGGAGGGGAGAGGAGGAGGGCTCGCGGGGGCGCGCGCGGCTACTGCTGCTGCTCCCGCCACCGACCAAGAAGAAAGGGAGCAAGACCGCACGAACATTCTTGTTTCGGGTTGGAGTCGTATTGGGTGCGTGCCAGGCTCGAACTGCCCTGCGGTAGGTGCACGGTGCATACGCGCGCGAGCACGGTGGCTCACCTGGCTGTCAATGTTCTTCTGTGGGAATAAACCATCTAAAGAAAAGGTGTATTCCGATGGGAATATAAGCTTGGCTTGGGTCTTTTTTGTCTTCAATTTAACTATTTTTTATTTTTAAACACAGTACAGACGCAAGCGCCCATATGTGTTGTATGTCACAAAGAAAATCTTTGAATTTGTCGTCGATTGAAATTTCAAAATATTTACTTTTTTTGGTATATGACACGTGTTTTGCTACTAGTTAAATTGATGACCTAAAATCTCATGTCCGGCTTATATTCCTATCCAGAGGGAGTATCATTCTTCAACAAGCGGTTGATACAACATCTTTGGACAACATCTTTTGACCATGACACCACTATTCTTTTAATCACACCTCAACGCCTCCACTTGTCCAGCCTCAAGCCAATGACGAGGAGGCAAGACACACAGCAATCAAGATGTGTCACAAATCGATGTCGGAGACCTCTACAACACGAGGGCTCTAGAGCAGTCTGGGTCAATACACCCCTCATCCATACACCTAAGAATAATCCGCGTGTGGATGACAGGTCTGGTCAGAGTTGTGAAGAAGTCATGAAGGAATCATTGACGACGGGGATACACTGCGCCTAGACGCCCACACCCTGAGAAGCGGCCAACCCTAACTACATCAGCGGTACCTCCAAAGAGGGGGCAAAGTCGTGGCACCGCTGCCTGTTAGAATAAATTTGAGGCCACTGTCGATCATCCAGGACCAAGCAATCACACGAG